TAATATTGTTTTCATTACACTATTTACATTATTCGGACTATTGTCCTCATCTTTGTCGCCTTATTTATCACAACGTTTCGGCCGCTGTACGCTCCAGCCTTCTTCGGGTGGTTAGAATGTCGAACTGAACCATTTATTTCGCTCACTAGTAGACTGTTCTAGTTCCACGTGCCATATCTAATGGATGTCAATAATCAGTCATCTCGTGTTAATTCCCCTCTCCAAGTTCTCCACAACCTTAACCAGTTACTGATCTTTGGATCCTGTCACTGGATCTAACTAACGGCTTTATCCACTGTCTTGTGAGTCCTTGAGGGCATCTTTCTATGAATTTCTGGGTATTATAAACCTAATGTCTCAGCAAAATTGCAATATGAGCTCTGGTAAAAACATGTATGATAACAGCAAAAATTGCAATATGAGCACTGGTAAAAAAAGATTGCGGAAGGCATTAGGTTTATAATACCCAAAACTTCATACACAGATGTCCTCAAGTGGATAAAGACGTAGTGGATAAAGGTGTTAGTTAGATCCAGTGACAGGACCTAAAGAGTTGTGAGTTCAATACCTGGTTAAGGCAATGGAGAACTTGGAATGGGTAAAAACTTAACTCCCTGAAATCACTTTCTATTCATTTAACGTTCCCACGTTCGACTCAGATAATCAAAATCGACATCCCTATTTTGTCTACCATCTGACCTTAAAGGTCAGTCTTAGAAGGTCTGAGGCAAAATACATTGCAACTAAAAAAATATAGTCTAAAACTATTATTTAACAAAGATAAATTATATCTACATTTCTTAACTTGATTTAAAGCATACCTTTTTGATTCGAATGTAAACTGAACGTCATATAATTAAAATTTCGTACCATCTTAATTTTTATTAGATGCGACGTCATCAAAAATTATTATTAATTTTTTTAAAGTTATTTAATTTCATTTAGAATATAAGATAAGCCCTTCATGTGGTAGGAACTCATGTTCAGGTGAGTGCCGAGCTGCTCTGACAGTAAATTATTCAATTGTTAAAAATGTTTAACTCTGCACAATCAGTAGTTTCGACGCATTCGAAAAGACCCATATTTTTAGAATGCGCGAATTATTCGAATAAACACTTAAATTTAATAATACTCTCCCTGTTTATTGCATCGATGACAGAATTTAATCATTAAAATATTTCCTTAGAGAAAAATTCTGTGGAATGTAAACAATCTACTCCTTGATAGTGAATACGTGTCATATATTTTCAAAGATTAATTCCCCTGAGAATTAGAATTGGTTGAATATTTTTTGAGTTCTTTTTTTGTGTGGAGAAATAAACACTGGATCGAAATGATGCCTTAAATAGGAATCATGAAAAGTAAAAAAAATAAATAATATAAACTATTGCTTTGTTTTGCAACGTTTTCGTTTTATTAGTTAATTTATAGATTTCTGGTATTCAAAAAAAAGATAATATTGACGTTCATATTTTTATAAAGCTTTCCAGAAAACACGTCACGTTATTTTTCTTAGATTAAGTAAAGTTTGACAATTTCTTTTTATTCTTTGTTATCACATTGCACCTAAAATGTTACTAAATAATCAATGTGTTAATAAGTGAGAAATACGAAAACACCATCAATAATCACAATTTACTGTTATTCTATTTTTAGAAGGTATTCATGGAGGCTCCAATACGCAACAAACAAGTCATTTTTCTTCGACATTCCGAACCACTCAATATCATTGCTAAAACGTTTCTTGACTATACAGAGATTACTATATAGACTCGAGTATAGTCGAGTTTTTATGATCAGTTATTTTACACACAAAATATGAAGTTACACGCTATACAGGTAATTGTTTTGAAGAGATTAAAATCATGCAGTTTCAGTGATCGGTTTCTCTATATACAGATAACTTTATACTAAAGGGGTTAAAAATCGATACCAAAAATCAGGAGTTGCACTATATATGAAGTTTTCTTATAAATGAGTATATATGATTTTACAATCATCATTTGTATTGTCATTCTCACAGCATTTCACCGGCTGTGCACTCCGGGTTTTTGCAAGTATCTGTTCGTCGGGGCAACCTTCAAGGAATTTCGAACTGAAAAATTTACTTAATCTACAGGTTGGCGAAAATTGCTATGGTTCCTCTGTCCACGTCTAGGGATATCTCGTCTTGTTTTTTTTTTTTATTTTAGTGGTGTTAAAATGAATGCACCAAAATTTTGAAGAAACCTCAAGCAACAGAAATGTGCGTCTACAGAAGAATGTCATGGACTGAACATATGAGAAACGGGGAAGTTTTTCACGATCACGAATCCAGTAACCCCATACGGTTGTAGGGTCACCACATCTGCTGTGTCAACCTTCTCCAGGCTGGTTTGAATTCAGAGGTTTCCTTCTTCTAAACAGGCTGTCAATCAAGGCGATAAGGACAAATAGGAAAGAGATATTGTTGTGGTGTTTTCCATCTAATGAGGCTATTGTGGATTCTTACACTTACTAT